TCCCACCAACAGTGCATGAGTGTTCCTATCTCTCCACATCCACGCCAACATTTATTGTTTTGGGACTTTTTGATAAAGGCCAGTCTCACTGGAGATAAGTGATTCATTCTCTTTTTTGAAAGCCTTTGGTATGTTTACAACTAAAGATTGAAAACTGCTATGACAGATATTTTTTGAAAGTTGCTCTTCATCTTTTTAAATTGCTATTATTCTGTGAAGACAATTTTTCTTTTTTTTTCTTTTTGCTTTTTCTTTTGTTTCTTGCCAGATGAACAGTCTTCTCAATGTGAAGACAATTTTTAAAATACTGTAATCAATACAATAAAATAAATGCTAAAAATATCTTTCTGATCTGGTAATATTTCATGTTGTGTCCTTTGGTAAGAAAAAAATCTCAACACCAGCAGAAGTGCATTTATTCTTTTATAATTTATATATTTTTAATCCTTCTTACTAAATAAACTTGTAAATATAAAACATAATTTTCACTATCAATGAACAGAATAAAAACTTAAAATTAGGAATTAACGAAACATGCTTATGAAGTACTATCTCTTATTCATTTTATGTTGTATCCTTCAATGTTCTGAATTGTTATCTTGTGAAAGAAGAAAAGTCAAATCAATAAATTCTTCCAAATTATAATTAAATGTCATAATATCATAGTATAGTATACAGTACACTTTCATATTGAAGTTTTTAACTTGTCCTCTTTTTCCCCCCATATTTTTGATACACAATCAAGAAAACAAAGAGGTAAAAGACTATTTTTCTATGTTTGAATTTACTTCCAGTTGATTGTGATTTAATGAAAAATTAAAAATTTTCAATGAATGTTTTTAGAAAGAAGAAACAGAAGGAGAGACTGAATACAAATTTGAATGGCAGAAAGGAGCCCCACGAGAAAAGTAAGGACTGGTTTACTTTTAAGACAAGATATATATCATTAAATGTATCTGATATCCCATCTTACATTGCCTTTTCATTCACTAGAGAAAGTTACAAATATGGAAAGGTATGATTTTATTTTAGTGATTTAATTGATTTTAATTTAGTGATTTCTTTTTGTTTTTGAGACAGGGTCTTGCTCTGTTGCCCAGGCTGGAGTTCAGTGGCGCAGTTATAGCTCACTGTGCCTCCAACTCCTGAACTCAAGTGATCCTCCTGCCTCAGCCTTCCATGTTGCTAGGACTATAGGCACCTGCCACCATGCCCAGCTAATATTGTGTGTATGTGTGTGTGTATATGTATGTATAGAGACAAGGTCTCGCTATGTTGCCTGGGTTGGTCTTGAACTCCTGGCCTCAAAAACTCCACCCACCCTCGGCCTCCCAAAGTGCTGGGATTATAGGC